TTTAGAAGTGGGATCACGTCAGACATGTCAAATGGAATTGATGAATAGTTTGACAGACTTCGTGGATCATTACTATGCAATTCTCATCAAATTCACTAATATGCAAAAGCATTTCACAGAGCTTGACATGGTAACCTGATAGAAAATTATTAAGAAGTTGCGTCAAATATCCTTTGCATGTATGGTTTAAATCATATATCAGAGGTTGCACAAAACCAATAGTAATAGAGATCCCCGGTTCTTATTGCAGCCTCTTACCATTGGTGCGTTCCGACAGAGCATCCTAAGTCCTCCATTCTTCGGGATATGATTCTTTGATGTAACAGACGCCAGTAGGATTGGGACAACGTACATTTGGGCCGATGATATTAACATACTGTACTAGAAGTCTGCAATATGTTGTATACAAAATAAGGTGATGCCCATTGGCTTCCTTAACTTGATGAAACAAGTGGCAAATTAAGTTTACCTCAGACAAATGAAAGTATCGATTTATGAAGGTAAACTTGAAATACACACCATATAACTCTTCGGAAACCCATCCCATTTATCAATAAAGGGGCTATTCAAGCACTGTCAATCTTTTTGAGCAGGTTAAACTTTGGAGCATCACAACGCCTCGAAGCGGCGTAACTAATCTTCAGATTATCGTTCCATATGACTTCAAAAGTTATATATGTTGGATCTCCTCAAACCCTAGGCTAAAATCTTGTCCGAGGCCAGCTTTCAGTGTGAGGAAACGGGACCTGACTTGCTTGCACAGTGTAAAGTGTCGGTTTAACAAGCCACTCTTTAGAGAGTTTCCAACAGCCAACAATTCGGGTGCCACTTTGGCTGAAGATAAGAAAACTGGGCCTAATTTACCGTCCAGTATAGTTGCCAGGCTCATATTTGCTCCATGCGGTAACATTCATTTAGTCATGAAGGAATATATAACATCAGCAACAAGAGGAATTTGTTGCTAAAGAGCAAAATTAATGCCAGCGTACGCAAGAAACTTTACCTAGTCGGCCATCTGAAACAGGCTACCTGCTGAACTGCGATTCTGCGAGTCCAAATGATGGAGTGATGATGGATAATTACTACGTTGCTACGTTGTTGTAGAACTGGAATTCAACATTGAAAAGATGTATGAACATGAGACTGAAGTGAAGGCATACTAAGATAACATCACTCTACTCGTAGTGCACTCCATTTGAGTAGTATCTATTTATCGTTTGATTTGAAATCGGACCACACGAAAGCCATGCATGCAGCTCCATGAAGAAGCTGAATACGATACACCAACCTGCGTTCTCAAATGAAAGTAGCCGGTTTTGTTTAGTTTCTACCGATTACAGCATTATTTTCCCCATTGGCCGACCATGCCAATCTGGTAGTTCATACCTTTGAGTTCTGAAAGGAAAGCTAACAGAATCACTTTGCTATTTCTTAAATAAGCAGCACTTCATCATTCGCCCGACTATGTCACGGTTGCGATTCCATTTGTAAGTGCATTTTAAACGAAAACGGCTAAGTCACTCTACCCTCTATGCTCAAGTTCAACCAAAGCATAATCTGTTACCTTTAGAGGAACGCGTCAGATGAAATGAGTACGGCGTTCTTCATAACGCGCCTTAGGTCAACAGCATTTTCCTTTTTATTTCAAAAACGTAATGACTAACCTTTTTAGTTTTTGGTGCGGAATTGAAAGGCTTAGCTCGTTCAATGGGTTACATATTTTATCCTGGTGCGTGCATATTTTCTTAACTTAATAGTCTATCTAAGCCCAATAATCTTTAGTCCATGGGTAGGTAAGGAAGATATCAATTCCGTTATTTCCTTTTATCTCCCTTAGTCACCTTCCCCGTTCTATTGGGTTTATGTGACTGACATTTAATTGGTTTGGGAAAAGTTATTTTTACTTTATTACTGCAACTTCGAACCTGCGCTGTATTCCTCTCTACATTGGACTGGTTAATCCAAATTTCTTCGATTATTAGACTGCAAAACCATCCTAGTCATCGTTATACTCCGCAATGACTCTACTGTGTGTGCCTATTGGTTTGATAAATGGATTAAATTTAACGCCACGAAGGAATATTTATACGAAGAAATAGCGTAGCATCTCTATATTCATATCTGCCCAACCCTGCGCACTTTCACCTACATGAATACGCTATTAGTATACATTTGAACCGTTTTCCTCGTGGATGCGCTTTTTTGGAAACTAGGAGAAATATATAATTTATGTGAAAACTGGACAGGCTATCAGTATTCGAATCGTGTTAGCCAAAACTGTGGCATCGATTGAATGCAAACTTCTTGCTCACGATAACATGCGTTGAACCAACGAAATTTAAATAACCTGCAATTCCACTCAACTCATTGAAGAGACCATCGTTCAAACACAGAAGTAGCCTGTAAAACCATATTTCTCAAAGTGAAAATAATGTGGGAAAATGGGCGGACGCAAAATCGTAATTACTAAGTTTAACACCTTGTTGCATAGGCAACATTCAGCTAAACTAAGGTTTTCGGATAAGAAATTTGAGTGAAAATACGGTTGATCCTTGGCCCGTATTTAGGAGGTAGGGAAACGTCAGACAAACCACTAAGCTAATTTATTCGAAATTCGCCACTGCGTCATCAGCAGGCTTTATGTCGGATTTGTTCAAGCTATTGTGTCAGTGGAAAAAACTAATTAATAGGTATTAGATCTAAAAATGTCTTAAGGAGATGGAGATTATGCAATAAGCCAAAATATTGGTGATTTTAAACAGAAGTTGAAAGGTTAACCATTCGCCATGCCGAACAATCCGATTGCATACGTTTCGTCGTTAAGTAAAGATTGGCAAGTAACCACCCATGCGTTGACCCTTGGTGATGATCAGCTTGCAGTCGCCTAGATATTCAAGTATCTCGACGGCTATAGTAGCTATCGTGGGACCGAAGATGAGATCACTACCCGTATAACAAAAGCTCAAGGCTCTTTCATCAAGTTCCACTAGTTGTGACGCAGAAGACACATCACTCTCGACCTAAAAACACGGTTTTATAATGTTGCAGTGCATACAACCCCCGTGTATGGTTATGAAACCTGGCCCATCAGACCAACAGATGTGAGGAGACTAGCAACTTTCGATCGTCGCTGCCAAACCAAATTAGCTCACACCCGGCGGGGAACAAGGCGTGAGAAATGAATATGTTCCGTGTAGTGTATTTGGTGCTGGAATAGCAAGTAAACCGCTCAGCAACTTTATGTCACTCACCAGACTCCATTGGCTGGGCCGAGTGCTGTGCGTGCCCGCACCTTGACTGCAATGTTGTCCGCTGTTTGGGCGTCAAGTGTGTAATTGGAAAAAGACGAGGGGAGACCTAGTGATGACTTGATCCAGAGGAATCAAAGCCGACACGTCGAAGTTGGCAGTAATTAATCTCCGGCTGACAGGCTGGGGTCGGAAGCACGAAAAATACCATTGGTTGGAATAACTAATATGGCGAGGAGTCGGCTCCACTGACGTTTGTGTTGTATGATCCGTTAACCATGCTCCTCCAGCTTATGTTCCGCATTCAACTACTTCTTCACACGTGATGATTAATATGACAATAGACATCATATTACTTCGTGTGTTTTGCGTTGCCTTCCATAATGTTTTTCATCACGTTTATTTCCGATATCTTATCATATTTGTATTGCGGCACCTTGACTGAAGTGTGTTTCTCGCTTAGCACTGAGGTGTAAGGATGAGGATGATCACACCATTTTAATGGCAGCTGCAATACATAGTGATTTTAGTGTCTGAGTTGGATGCAGCAGCAGCAGTAGCAGCAGCAGCAGCAGCAGCGGCGGCGGCGGCGGCAGCAACAGCAGCGGCAGCCTTGATGGCAAGAAACGCTCTTTAGATAAATCCCGGATCTCTAACCGTTTTACTTTAATTTGCTTCTTTACTTTCTCTGCAATGTTATCACGTGGTTTATCCTTCTAGTTTAGAAAATAATGGCATCTTGCTTCTAAAGCGAATCCGTTAGTTTTAAATCTATCCGCCCCTTTATTACCCTTTGCTCAATTCACTAGATTCCGACAGCCGTGTATATGCACACCTTGGCGACGTCCTACTTAACTCTGTACATGTTTGCATTCTTGATTTGTTTATGTTACTGCACTTTATGATTTTGTTAGTGGCCAAGATTGTTGCATAAGGGAGTTGGCAGATCAGTACTCTGCGTCTAAAATCAATCTATTCGTCGAGCACCCGGTGCTGTGATTCCAATGTCATTTCATCCAACTACGTACGTACGCTTCGCTTGATCACAAGTTATGATAGTTAAGGTACGAAAAAGACGGTATGAAATGCAGGCATATGCTAAATTCTTAATAGGTCTAACGTGTCAGTAGACTCGTTTCAGTTACCCATGAACATCTGCATTGCACTTTCGACAAATTGTGGATGGTCGTTTATCCCTGGTGGGAATCCTGTGGTAACAACGCTTCTAGAATTTCACGAAGAGCTACAAGGCACAGCCCTTTAAAAGCCTGAGTCATTGGCTGAAAACTCATGACCACGGGTAGCGGTGACTGAATTTTTAATACATTTGTCTTTTTCCTACTTGAAGGATAAACAAAGATGTCATCATCATAATGAATTGACGACAAACTTTCTCGCTTTCCAACTTTGCTGGGCGTGTGGTGGATGAAAATGTACTAGATAGACTACCATAAAAAGTTCTATTACTGATTCATAAAAGGCAAATTTGAACTACGTTCGTTCTGCGTATAAATGAAGGCGAGAAGTAATTTAAGAGGAATTAATCAAGCGCTTAATCAAGCTACAGCAACATTTTATGGTTTGACCTGTAAATCATGTTCCAAATAAAACATCATCCATGCAAATGATTGACTATCCACCACGATACGGGTTTCTGCAGTCTACGGTATGGTATAATGTCAGAAAAGCTTCCAGCGCAAAGAATTATTCTTGTATTTCAAGATAATCGAGGGCTATATCAATTACAAGTCATCAACCATATCGCATAATACTCCGCTGTACAACTGGATTGTCCTCTGGCCTCAGTCGTTCCACCGTCGGTAATCCCATTGCCAGCGCGAACTCGTTAGGATCATCCAGATCATATTCACGTGACAGGGTTTCTCGTTTGGCCAAATTTGGATCCCGTCGAATCTGAATTCTGTAGGAATCAGACTGAACCAGGAGGGTGAGTACCACCAGAGGAACAATGGCTCGCATCCTGAACTTTCAACTTTCCTACAACAAAAGCGTAACGCGTTAGCCAGAAAAGTTGTTTCCTTATTAGCTAACAGTCGTAATGGATACCAGTTTCCTCGAGAACCTTGGCATCTGCGGAATGTCATTATCATCACAGTAGACTAATACCTATAATCGCGACGATAGGGCATAAAGTTGTATCCAAATTGCTTCTAACTGAAAAATGTCATGTTATTTTCGAACAGTAGTAAATATTTCGTATATAATGCTATATAATTAAATGAGGTGAACAGGGTTACAGCGTTTACATTGACCATATATAGTAACATGCAATAGATAGGGTTGTAATGTAGCAATTTGTGAGCACACGAATACCCCTAAGGTAATGACTGCATATTTAGGATGTGCATTATTAGGTCTTTCACAGCCAGCATTTCATATCAATTTCGCTTAGGTCACTGCTGTTAACTTTAAAGTTTTCAACTGTTCACGAAGTCACTCATCAATCGACAGGAATATTAATTCATCGTTCTGTTTAAAACAGGTTGGACAGTAAGAGCAACTTCGAGGCCAAAAATATATCAGGATATGTGTACTGAAAAGAAAACTGTCCGAAGATTCATAGTACCTGATTACAACTAAAATGAACCCAGAACAGCTTTAAATAACGGGATGTTTTTATTCTACGTTCTCCGGGTGCCCGCCGCGTAGTTGATTTACATCACATGATCGCACTCCGGACCACCATTTACTTTGAAGAAAAGCAAGATCACTTTGATCACCGAAGCTGTCACCAAAGTGTTGGACTTCTGGTGTTGCCGGCAATACTAGTAGCCAACAACCATGCAAACCATTCACACCATGTCGCGTCCTTAAATTTATAGCATTATGCACCGTACCGTCTAAAAATCATCACTGGTTTCATGTTAGAACAATTTAAAATATTAGGGAAAATTCACGGGGGACTGCCTGCGGATTTGAAACTGAGCCATTTGTATCACCGATTGAAGATATTACAAAACAAGTTAGAAGATCGTTCATTTGGAGGACGTAGATACACGAAACTCCATAACGGCCATAACAACCTGGTGTACACCCAAGTTCCATTACCGCAAATAAGCCGCAAGACAAAACACAGCATCTAAGCAGAGGACTGATTTGATTGCCCGCCCTGAAGTAATGGCACATTGAACGGTCTTGGGGTAGAAACTCACAAATACTACATCATCTCATACAATAGCAAACCAGATCGCTCGATCATAATGCTATTCAAGAACTACGCGACAACCTTATACTTGGGAAATCAGACGGCCATCTAAACCAAATAACCTTTGTCGTAATCCACCAAGTTTTTGTATTCAACATGCAAATTCACATTTATGTCTCTTTTACGTTTTTTTCAGCAGCTTCTCGAATTGTACAGGGTCTGAAATTTAGTGAAAATGGAGAAATTGGGGCTTCGTGCAGCGATTACATATGCTCATCTGAAAGGACTGTCTGCCTCTGATATCCACCAAGAAATGCGCAATACTTTGCATGACAATGCCCCATCATATACCACAGTTACACGCTGGGTGCAAGAGTTTAGGGCAGCAGGGAGAGTACTGAATATGAGCCAAGGTAAGGGAGACCATCAACCACCAGAACCAAAATGATCTTGGCATAGTAATGGATATCAAAATACAAGTTCATCAATTAACCACTTGTCAGTAACAGAGAGATTGAGCATCTACCAGGAGCGAGAAGATAGTATTCCGACGAAGGAGTTATGCTATTCAAAGGTTTCTGCTCTATGAATTCCACGTTTTCTGACTCCTGAGTAGAAGCGCATACGACAATTTATGTTAACAAAAATTGGCACTGTTTGAGGCAGATGTCGATGAATTTCTTGCATGGTCCATCACTACGGATGAGTGTTGGGTTCATTACATGCAACCAGAAAAAAGGAATAATCAAGGCAGAGAAAGCGTGCAACATCTCCTGCTCCAAATAACGCCAAGGTTACACCGTAAACTGTGACCGTCAGGGTTACTGTGACCTTCTGAAACGTCTCAGGGAAAAATTTCGAGAAAAGAGGCAAGGAATCTTGACGAGAGCAGGCATTTTCCACAATGACGATGCTCCAGCCCGCACTTCTTCCATTACTCAGAAAACAATCCACGGTTGCAAATTCCAGCTTCTGGTCCACCACCCTCATCACTAGACCTGGCTCCATCTGACTTTCACCTATTTCAGAACCTGAAAATATGTTAGCTAGCAAACGTTTTCTCAACGATAGTGAGGTCATTGAAGTCGCAGAAGCGTTTATAGAGTTACCATCTGTAGAGCTTCTCTCCACCGGGACAAAAGCAGCTCAGCCCCGTTGGAGTAAGTAGGTTGCCCTCAACCGTGATTACGTTGAAAAATAAAAGCATCAAAGACTCTGTATTTCGTTTGGTTTTCGAGGTTCAAAGCATTTTATTCAACCCAAATATTTGTTATCTTGCCAGCGTTATG